TCCATCACCGGTTGCGAAGAAGGCTTGGTCTGCGGGAGAAACACTCCTCCAGTAGGGACAACATATTGCGCGACATGACCCTTTACCTCAGAGTCAGACGTGCTCATTTGGTAGCCAAGAGAAGACAAGAAAGGAGAGACCAAGCGTAGAATGGTGGATAGGTCCTATAAGGGCAGGAAAGAATCCCACCAGGGCCAGCGTGAGTATGATAGAAGATAGAGGGCGCCGGGTTGACAGATGTTGATACGATCTGCGCGCTATAGACTGTGCGTCAGGTAAGCAGTGAGTACGCCAATGTCCGATGGTGGTATATAGTATGTTTGCTTGAGACGTTGCGTATTGCGATGTCCCTGTAGATCGTCCCCGATGGACGGAAACAAAAGTGGCCGCGCGACGCGACCGTCGACGCGTGTGAGACATCTATCACGGTCACATGTAGTTCTGGGCGCCTAGAGGCGCTTGCAGACGAGAGGCAATTTCCGCCGAACAGGGTATTTGGCCCGTATGACCGCAGGAATCCATTGGGAAGTAAGGTACAAAGATGATAGACTGCATAGACAACATCAAACAGATACGTACGACTCTCACTTCCTCGCGAACGTGATCTAAGCGAAGCGTGAGTAAGACAGGTGGTCAAATACAGTCATATATACGCACCTTGATCTTGTTCTCCCCATCCAACTTGTAGTTGTGCAGAGCGTTCTTTGCGACTGTCGCACTTCCCTCGTCGACATACTCGACCAAGGCAATGTCCTTCTTCGTCGGGATGAGACGAACTTCGTACAAGTTTGGATATCTGTAAGAAGTGAGCCCACGCCGTGCAATGTGGGTTTCCGGAATGCAGACAAGGACAGCAGGAGTAAGAAGACACACTGTTGGAAGAGGTTGGTGAGCTGCTCCTTGGTGACCGTCTCGGGAAGGTTTTGTCGGAACAGAATTTTGTTCGGCGGCAAGTATTCGTCCGGCATCTGGACGTTCGGCCGCTTGGGAGCTGCCGCGGCAGCGCCATCCGCTGGTGAACAATCAACACGAGTTGACACACTTGGAAAGAGTAAATGCGCATACCCTCCGTCGCAAGGCGCTTGGCCTTGAACTTCTGCTTGGGCGGATTGGTGTAACGAGTATTGTCTGTGAAGGCCGCGTCAGATAGAAAGATATGGAATGTGATTGTGATGGGCGTACTCTTGTGCTCCTTTCTCCTCTCCTTGTGCGAGTCGAGATTATTGGGATCGAGCTTCTCCGTGACCTTGTCACTCCGCGTGCGCGCGAACGATATTTGCATCGGCTTCGAGTAAAGCGGGAAGCCCTTGACCTCCTTCAGGGCCTTCGCCGCGATATCTGAAGACGCGAACGACACGAAAGCTTGACCGCGCATGCGGGGATTTCCGTGCGCGACGATGTCGAGTACTTCTCCATACGACTTGAGAAGGGCGCGTAGCGACTGTTTGAGTACTAGGTGATATTCGTAAGCACATGCTCTAATGGACACAATCACGAATACATACCAGAAATACGGATCTTCTCGTTCAAATTTTGAATGTACAGGGTCTCCGAGACAAACTCTGGTACGGCTGGCACTTCTGGCTGGGCCGGTTCGGGAGGAGCGGCAACCGGGGCACCTTCAATAGGTACTTGCGCTTGAACGTCGACTTCCATCGCCTTGAGAGATGCAACATCGCCTGAGATGCAAAAACTGCTTCGGCCATCGCTAAAGAGATGAACCAGGCGGGACGAGGTGGTGGTCAAAGGCAAGGGCTTCAGCGGTGCCTTCTACTGTTTAACGCGCGTAGGGGCCTTTGCGACACTTTCACGTTCCCATCTCTCAAATATATTAGCTTCATAAGAAGCGTCGACATCTTTCGGAGGGGCACGCAAGTGGTCGAGCAGAGATCTTGAACGACCAGCAGTGCACTGTTCATGCACGTAATCATGCCGCACCTCGTTGTATATGCGAGCGAGATCGACTGATTGAGACTGCTCCTGCATGTCCAAAGCAGTAAGAGAGCCGAACTTGGTGGTGGCAAGAAGAAAGGAAGTGGTATGCCTCGTGTCGCTCTCATGGTCGTCGAAACTCATCCTGGCCGCCCAATGTTGAACCGCGTTTGGCGATGCCTTCGCGCCCGGACGGCGGGCCGAACTCCGAAGCCGCCCGCGACCGCGGTGGGGAGACAACTTGTTTTCGTTCACAACTCACTCACAATGGGTATGATTATCATCTCTGGGTGGATGGGCACTCGAGTCTTCGCGTACTCCCAGATTTACTGTAACTCGCTCTCTGTATATTCCACTGGAAGCATTTGGTGTGGTCGCAAAGGAATCGCGAGAAGCGCTCGAGTACAGTTATCTGGGCTTCATCTCTACTACGTTCTACTGCGGGCTCATAGAATGCACGTAAATGTCTATGAGTATCGGTAACATCCATCACTTAGTTCTTCATACTGGATATCTGCGATGCGCCCCGTCGCACACATCTCAACGGAGACGAGGACCACCGACGCCAGGCGCCTGGCGAGTAACCGACGCGCCACCGCAATCGCAGTTTGCATGAAGCTCGGCATGTGCGAGAGAGACGATAGAGAGATCCGCAGGTGCAGACACGGCTACACATGAGAGAGGGAAGATGATAGGCACATGTCATGAGCCTATGAGAGTGGTAGTGCCACAGGTTTGAGGCGTCTGACATCGTATCAATTATCAATGCCGACCTAAACGCAAAAGGAGCTGCTTACCGGGATCAACGCAGACGTGCATTAGTAGTACGGCAGGGTGAAGGTATCAGACCTTGTGACCCTCTGCACGACCGCCGAGGATGCACGGGGATATGAGAGAAAAGGACACTCTCAAGCGGTTTCCAAAGACATCACCAGGCAAAGAGCTATCGTCCTCGGGGGCTGTGCATTTCGGATCTGCCGCCTAGCGCGCGCTTTCTTGGACCATCGTGGGTATGCCGAGCCTTGACTAGACGCGCGCGGAGACCTTCCAAGAAAGCGCATCGGCTGAAGGAGTAGAAGGATGCAAGAGCGAGACTCAGGCGCGAATGAGATGATGGGTTCAGAAACGCGGATGATTGCTGGTGTCGAGAGGGAGGTAGAAGGCGAATAAACGCAAGGAGATCTGAGATGAAGGGGACGATAGCAAGGGTATCGCTCTGGCGCTCGTTTTCGTGCGCCCACTGGAGTTGCTTGTACACATAAGTACAAACAGATCATCCACATATGGACAGATACGTACCATGGTCACATCTATACAATGTCCTCCCGTCGATCTGCGCCCTCTTCCTCATCACCAAGCTCGCACTCCAACCTGTCCCACCTCTCCGAGGCCCGGACAACGATCATAACCGCGAGCGCGTGAAACCCCACGACGAGTCAGCACATCGCCGCCACAATGCCCACATTCATGAGCATCAGCACAATCGACCAGGAAGGGCCGGTGTCGGTTGTGTCTGCGAAGGACCAGGTTGTCGCAGTGAAGACATGAATTGCCAGAGCTATGTCGAGAGATAGAGAGCAAGAAGGGCGACGAAAATGAGGAGGATCTGTCAGGCTCGAACTGAGATGTAAGGATCCAATCGCGCGGGGAGGTGTACTGGCGAAGGTACAGGCGAATCTGCAAGGGCGGATTCCTCGGCTTTGAGCTCGCCGTATTGCGTAGACGAGTAGTGCATTCTGAGATCCCCTTCGACGCGGCAGATCTGAGATATCGTGAGCTACGACACTGCCTAGCAATGAGGGGACACTCACTCAAAAGTCCGTATGCAAGATCAGGTGCTGCGGCTTGACACTTGTAGAGCTTATAAACCCCATACGCTCGGCGGGCCTGAGGCATAGTATAGTGTAGTCGATGTTCTATACCTGTGTCCGAGTCCATCGACATGCGTAGAGCTACGGTCCTCGTAAACCTTATATCTGCGCGTTCGTGGGTAGAAGAGCTCCGTGTAGACCAAACCACACCGCCACAGGATCTTACTTAAGGCAGGGCGTGGCGATATAGAGCACCGCGAATTGACGCGCGCGTTATCAGAATTGACCTAAAATACGAGTGAGTTTCTGTTTCGCGAGAAATACGTGGTATACGAGCGGCGAGCGCTACTTACTACGAGGGCAAAGCCCAAGATCCAAAAGTAGCGCCCGACGGCGCGCTTCCTTGCAACGTTGAACGTCGGTCATCGCTCACGCCCCGGCGCAGACGCTTTCAACAATAGCTATGCAGTCCAGAAGTCGACAAAGATGATATTCTGCAAGGCCGTATCTGGACGCAATGGTGGCAAGAGGCAAAGCGCGCTGGCCTACGCAGGCGCGTTCATCAACGCGACTTGCGGTTTCAACACACGAATATCTCTGAACATCCGGTCGTGCCACCATCGCATCGGCGCGGCCCCCCGCACTTGGCTCAAACGGCTAGCACTTCAAGAGTCGGACGTGTTCAGCTCCTGCTCACGGCTTTCGGAGTGTATCGCTTCCAACAACGCTATATATCACTGCACGGCGTCCAGTTGAGAGACATGGTCGGAAGATGGCGACGTGTACAGCTGACAATAGAAGATATATGGTCAATTGAGATTTCAAGCCGGATGCTTCACACCCTGGGTCAAGCACCAAAGTGCACGAATGGAATCCAGCGTATAAAGCTACTCTCCCCGACCTTCTCCCTCAAGACCCTCGTCGCCTCATACAACGCATACGCAGCGCCTATTTCGCCCGTTTCCAAACTTCCAGCGCCGCGCCGCACCAGCAGCTCCTTGTACTATGCTTTGACGACTACGGGAGCATCGGCGTCGCGGATGGACCACATCGTTGCCACGACGCCCCTGAAGCCAACCGCGAGCATACCCGCTGCGAGGTGCGCGGACTCCTCTGGTGCCTTGTCGTCACCTACGGCTGTCTGACACGCCGACAGGAAGGCAAGCTCGGCGTTGTCCGCTGCTGTACCCATCAAGTCCGCAAGCGTCAGCGGGCTATGGTATAGCTCGAACGCGCTCTTCGTGGCGTCCATCGGGTCCTGCGAGCCGTGGCAGGCGAAGTGTACCCATGGATACTGGCCAATGTTCTCACGCACGGCTGCGACGGACGAGTACCTGGCTTGGTATCTTCGCCGTTGACAGTAAAGTCTTGAGGTCCCGACCTTCTTTCATGGTGTACGGGAGCGGCAAGCCCAAACGCGGCGTGTTCGGCTGAGTTACGATGAGCATGTTCGGCGTCGGTGGGTGCATGGCTGCGCTTTCGTAGTTTCGCAATAGCGCCGACAGCGATGGTGTGTAGGACGACACGACCAGGTCATAAGCGCGCGGACCGACGGGGTCACTGTACATCCCGGCAGCATGCAAAGGTAGCTGAGTTACTGGACCCGTTGGACACCAGGTGATGCGCGAGCGTCGGTGGTCAGCGTCAGCCTGACGATGGCATCAGTACTGTGGTAGTGATGTTGAGATACAGGAGTGCACTTACCGGATCAATCACGAGTTTGAGCGCCTGCAAGACCGGGCCTACGATCCAGGTCCATATACGTTCCAGTATGCGATGGAGGGGAGTTGAAGAGTCATGCGAGAGCTGGGATGGTGCCATGCCGCGTGCGCGTGCACTGTGCTCCCGCAAGAGTACTATCCATTGCGTGCGTAGCTCGGACGCACGCTGTAACGAGAGTTGTGGAAGCGGCACTAAGATGATCTCGCCGCTAGGTGAAAGCACAAGAGCATCGCAACGGGATTTGTCCGTATTGATGAAGACGACCTGTCCTCTGATGCATTTCAGGGAGGGGAGGAAAGCCTTGAAAGGCTTTGGGCGCATGAAGTCGTTGAACTTGAAGCCCGGACAAGCTCGAATTTTCTTCACGAGTTTCTCATAGTTACGGCCTTCCAGGCGTCCTGGTCCCGGTGGACTTTGTAAAGGTTGAGGATGTTCAAATGTGTGCACGGCGACTTACGGCTCTCTCACACGCAAGCCTCGCTTGCGTCTCTTCTCGACCTGCTTGCGCCGCGCGCCGCTATCGAGCGAGCTCTACTATCGCCTCCACACCAAAGGCCTGCTGCGCAAAGCCGCCTGTCAAGCCAGCACGAGTCGTGCGCGAGACGTTGTTTGACACACACCCTCGTGAAGCCTCCTCCACCGGCGTAAGACCGATTAGATTGTTGTCGATCCGGGGTCTGGGAAAATCACGCACGCGACGCCACGCATTGGCTGTCGCATGATGTGCTCCCACGGGCACTGTTTTGGCGGGCCGGACTCCGAGCAGACTTTCTGTCCGCGAAACCTGGACCCTAACGGGACCAGGAATATAGTGGAAGAATGGTGGAGGTTCGAAACCAAGAGCGCGCCGAAGCGAGTTCGAACGTTCACCCGTGCGCGTTTTCCGGCCCGAATGTCCGCGCGCGGGCTTGATGCGCCACAAGCGAGGATGCCCGTACAGGCTTCGTGTCCAAGCATTCATCCAAAAAATTAGGTGCCATAAGTAAGTGCCGTACACAGCCGCACTGCTCCGGGACAGAGACTGTGGATGACACAGTACCGGGCGAATCCACTCAGGCGCCCTGCGTCTGTGACTCGATAGCGTTCAGCTCTGCTACCGTTGCTGCTTTGGCGGCCCGTCGTCCACGGCTACTCAGCTTCTCAAGACATGGGTGTCGACCGGACGCCAGAAGGCGCATACCCTTTGCGCCGTGTTCTCCCGAATGGCGATAGTGGTAACGAAGCCCATGCATGTTCGTGTATCGGCGCAGGCAAGTGTCGAGGGTACACTCGATTGGACGCATGCGAGTCAGCGCCTGCTCCCTGATCTTGTCCATGATGCCCTTGGATACAGCGTCCGCCCGAGTGAGCCCTTCTTGAGCGAGAATCGTGTCCATCATCTCTACGACTGTGCTGGGATCCTTCGAACATGAACCGTGTCGCAGGTGATTCTCGAGGCCGGTTGGGTTCTTGTACGTCTTGTTACAGCCTGTCTTCGGGCAGCTGAAGAGTATGTGTGGCCAAGGCGGCGAGGTCAGTTCTGGTGACGTTGAAGACGGTTCAGAAACGTCGAGCGTACCGCTGGAATTCAAGTCTGCGATTTCGGTGCGGGAAAGAGTCCGCTGCATAGATGTTTGAGGATGGTCTTGTATCGCCGTTTGCAAGGCCTCAGGCTCTGGCGACTCGGTGAGCTTGATGAATGTGCTGGATGTCCTGTTCGGCGATTCTGGAAGCCGCATAGCTATGGCGGGTGTTACTTGCATAGCCACGCGGGGTGGGTTGGGCTCTTCCTCAGCCTGCATGGCGTCGGACGACTCGCGTGAAGGCTGCGCATCAAGTTCGATCCAATCAGTCAAGTCAAAGCCCTGTGGCGAAGGTTGGGTGGAGTTCCGAGGAGAAATGTTGCGGGTACTGGGTCTCCTTGACAGCTGAACACGAGCGCTCCTCGAGGACGGTTGATTCTTGAAGAAGGGCAACTGGTCCGATACTGGATGCCGTGTGGGCTTGCTCTACATGTTCAACGATCTCGTATAGATGGCGGAGAGGTAGCCCGCAACAGTGGTACTGACAGTTATCGAATGCCCTTCAGTAGTATTCGAACGGCATACTTGAGCATTACTTACCACTATATCGTCCTTGGCGTGTGTCAGAGATGTTATTTCATCAACCGCCAACGATCTTTCCGGCGAAGGTCTGAATTCCAGAGACGCGCTGGCGCGCCAGGCGGAGGGAGAGCTGATATCTGTGCGCTTGTGCCTCTCCAAGCCGGAGAAAGTGTCCTGATCAAGGTCAGGCATTGGAATGTCTGCCTGCCACTGGCGGAAGATGAGTACTTGGGGTATGGGAGCGAGTTGGAGAGCCCAGTCGATGGTGACCGTTGGTCGAAGAGTCGAGAAAGCCTCGTTGTGTCCATGTAGACGAAGCTAATGCACGCTCGTTCATCAATAGAAGTTGTGAGAAGTTGGATGCGATGTGGCGTTGTTGTGATGGGGGCTGGTCCGAACAGGGCGGAACGGAGGCTGAGGCGCCGGAGCTTTGACGTCTTCGTGTCAGGGAACCTTGGCCTCACTCTGTGTCGCCTGAACGCACTTCGTGACCGGTACTGATCAGGGCATATTTCAAGGTGTAAGTATGCTTGGACATAGAAGTTGTACATCGAGCGCCGAGCGCCTGTTGCAAGTATGAGCGTCAAACATCGAATTCATTACGCGTTTGATGCACGCGGCAATCCTGCCTTCGATAGGCGCTCAGTTCTTCAGTCCCACCCCCGCCGGTCACTGAGTTGAGACTTCACAGAGAGGGGGGTCAAATACCATCGTATCACGATAGGGGAAGGACAGTGAGCGGAGGGCGCAGGGCAGAGAGTGTTCTTTCTTCCAGCTCGGCTCTGCGGCGTTTTGTGCCCACGAGGCCGACGCGGCCACGTGTGTTGCTGGCAGCGCGTTCGCCCTTTCGGCTGGCAACCGGCGGCCAGCCTTCTTGCCCTTTTCCGGGCATAGCGCACATCCAGTCACGAGATCAAAGTACTGCAGTACAGCGCTGAACTTTTGAGCACCGTTCATTGTCTAGTAGTCGGGAAGTCCGGCCGTATAGTCGATTGCACAGAGGAGCGTAGATAAACCACTCCAATATAAGTGGACATGTACCTGCTACGACGTCAGTCAGTCGGTATTCCACAGAAGCACATGGTGGGGCTCGTACTATATGCACCTCACGCACTCCCACTCCCACTAGCGCCTCGTCCTCACTATAAGCCGCCCTGAGCGCCTCCCTAACATTCTCAACCTCCGCAACCTGCACGCCAACCTCGTTGCCAACAACCGCAACGAGCGCTCCATATTCCCCGACCTCCCAGTCCTTTGCATGTCCCACCAGTACGCCCACTGTCCTGTTATCGGGCACATAGTCGCAACCGCGCTGCTCCGGCACGGAGGACGCGCGCTATGGCCGCGCGCGGCGTCTTAAGCGGCCGATGGTGCCGGACGAGGGATGAGAGAGGCCAATGAGAGGAAGTGATAGAAGGGTGGAGTTGCCGGGTAGGCGACAAAGACGTTTGTAAGTTCGGCGGCGAGCTTCAGGTCTGTGTCGATGACCTGTAACGTAGTCGCTTCAGTCTTGTGAGCGAGGAAGGGAGTGCAGGTATATTGACGTACTTTGCATCAACACCCTCTTCCGGCCTCGCAAACCCAAGGCCATTCTGCACATCAAATGACAATATCCCAGCCGGTCTCCCAGCCAAACCGGAGAACGTCTTCGGAAGGTCGCCATCGTTGTTCGTGAGCACCAATGCCCCATAGGACGTTGTCGGCGGTGGTGATGACGAGAACGAGCGTGAGAGCGGTGGTGCGCAATGACAATGATGAATTACAGAATCGAGACCGCGTGCGACATTCTTGAGGATGAGGGAGCGCAGGCGGAGGTCACATCGTCGAGTGGAGGGAGGGGATAAGCGGCCAGGCCAAGTGAGGCGCGTGTAAGCGGAAGCACTCCGTATGTGAGGTCGGCAGAGATGACTGGCGGAGACTGTCAGCTATGGTACACTTGAGCGGTTCTTGAGAGTCACACACCTGAGCCTGTTCAGTGAGCCAGCTGAGAGTCCAGCTGCCGACGAAGCACATGAGGATGAGGGTCATGGCGCGTAGGAGGCGCTGCTCGGCGCGCAGCAGATATGTCTCGGCTTCTTCAGAAAAGATAGTCAGTACCCCGCAAGCCGCAAGTAACAGAACAGTGGCTTACCTGTACTGCCTATGTTTGCTTGAGAATTTAACGCAGGCATCCACTCGCTTGACCGTTCCCAAGAAGTCTCCTCGCATAACCACACTCCCGGCACGTTTGGCATTGACGCGGTCCGCGGACACCTCCCATCCCCTAGAAGCCTCGTATTCCGCTCTGGATACGCCTGGATAAGCGTACATGCCGGGTACCGCGCTCTTTGACGGCCTCGAAGATCTTGGTTGCGACTTCCGGTTCGACATGGGGCGTCCCAGTCCTCCATGCTCACTCCCAACCTGAGCCGCGGCTTGGCTTGGCGGTAGACATGGTGTAGCAAGCCATTAGCGAGAGAATTTATGATGCCAACGGGTAGAAGCGTGGTGCGACAAGCAGGGCATGTGGAACATCATCGTGGCTACGGTCCAAGCGTTGTCCAAGCGCAGAGTGCGACGCGCCTTGGCTCTTGACCACGACCAGGGGCGATCGCGACCGTATACAGTACGGCTCTCTGCGCTGACTCTTCGCTTCCATATTGCATATAAAGCTGTTGTACTACATATGCAGAATGAACTTTCAAGACATGGCACTGCCATGGCCTCGTGGTATATTAACCCATGCCGCACGCGTGAACATTCTGCGAGACGCTGCCAGGAACAATCCGCTCAGGAAGATGATGTATCTATCCCTCGCACCAGGCGGCACACACGATGCGCAACGTCGTGCCTCTTACACTCACCTTGTCTTATCCGTCCGATATCCTGACACATCCCTGCCTTTTCAATGCCTGAAAAAGACTCGAATAAGCCCACGTACGATAATTCGGAAGACTTCATCTGGGATACGTACTTGAAGGCCTCCAAAGACGAGGACGAAGCGCGCCCGAAGAACTGGGAGGGCAGCACAACAGGCATCCTCACCTTCGTGCGTACTTCACACATCAAACGCTAGCATGTCTGCTGACGATACACTGTAGACTGGTCTCTTCGCCGCGACTGTTGCGGCCTTCATCGTCGAGAGTTACAAGCTGCTGTCCGTCGACTCGGGCGACCAGACAGTCCACCTGCTTTCGCAGCTCCTTGTCGCGACTGCGAATGCCTCGTCAGGCCTTCCTGTCATCGTCACAACACCTAAGCCGTTCTCCACTCCTCCCGCAGCCATCGTTACGAATGCACTTTGGTTCTCAAGTCTGTTGATTTCGCTCATCTGCGCATTGCTATCGACTCTCGTTCAGGAGTTGTCTCGAGCCTACGTACAGAACATCAATAGACGAAAGGTTCTTCATGAGACCTTGCGCGAACGCGCCTTCAGTCACATCTTCATCCGCATGGGCGTCAATCGTTACGGAATGGACCAGTTTGTGTCCTGGATCGTCGCGCTGGTGCATCTCGCAGTCTTCCTCTTCGCGTGTGGGCTCCTAGTCCTCCTCTTTCCTATCGACCGTATTGTGGCAGTCGTTGCTACTGCGATCCTCGGGAGCTTTGTCCTCGTGTATTTCAGTGCCAGTTTGCTCCCTCTACTCGAGAAGAGTTGTCCATACAGGACACCTATCACATATTTGATCGCCTTCGTTGACTGGTCCGCTCTATGTACTCGAGCTCTACATTTCTTGCCTTACTCACTCACAAAATTCTACTATCACAGTCGGATGAATCTTCATCGCATCGCCGCGAGACAGTACGAGGGCAACCCTGATCATTTCCTGACCACTGCACGACCTGTATTCATATTGGAGTGTGTCTATCCCCACATATCTAAAGATAATGGAGGGCAGTTCTACAAAGCATTACCTTCTTTTGTTGATTTGCACACAGACAGAGATGAGCTACTAAGCACTCTATGTGCCGATGACGAATTCATAAAAAGTTTATTCTTGTATCTCGATCGAGCATATCATGCACATAAAAGGGATTCTTCATTTCCCATTGCCCATGAGATATTCATGCTTGTATCATATCTCTCAGAGCGAATGTTCGCGTCAGAGGTAGAGCGATACAATGGGGGCCGCCCGGAGGCTGTTGCACTTACGAGCGGACGGCTTCTGAGTGTGATTGGGCTTGTATCATATATCGCAAGGCTCGAAGGCCCTTCCCAGCTCCTCGCTCAGCTATGCCTTGTGCGTGTCCGGAGTTTGCTTCTAGGACTCTGCCAGACTGCGTCTGATGAGATGCCGATTCTGAATGAACAGGAAGTGTCAGATTTCTTCGGCGAGACATACTTGGGCGACGACTTTGAGCTCAAAGGGCGCCATCCCAGCGCGATTCTCCTTTTGCTCGTCAGTGGGACCCACAACGCGGTGGTATGGGAGCATGTGGACAAGTCAACCTTGGTACCTTTGCACGACGACAACTGTTGCAGAGGCTGGAAAAGTGTTTTAACCTCTGAAGGTCGAGCACATGTAGCAGCATGCAACGCCTTGTCCGCTGTAGCACACATATTGAACTCCACCAACGACCAGAGACAGTCCACCCGGTCTCTTCTGAGTGATATCACTCGCGATGTGCAGTGGCAGCCTTCTCAACGTATACGCAGGATGTGGAGGTGGTACTTTCTGGCTTTACCATCAGTCGTGCAGCCGATGGGGACGGAAAGGAGCAAGACAGCAGATACAATCAAACTGCCGTAGACGCTTCGACAGCGCCCTCCACGCACCCACGATCCGGGCGCGATCACACCAGCGATCGAACGAATGAGGCCCTTCATGAGCCGGGCAGACAGGCCGAAAGAGGCGAAGACAGCGTCCCTCTTCCTCTTACACCGGTATTGACGGATGTGGTCGTACACGGCGACCGCGACGCAATCGAACTTGAACCGGACGGGGCGTTATCGGCGTCGACGAGTTACCCAGACGAAACTGAGACTTAGGGAGAGGTGCATGTAGTGGTAGAAGGTTATGGAAATCAGGGGAATTAGCCGTCGCATAAAAGGCTCACGGTCTTTCACCTGTTGATAGCAATTCCTTGCATATGTATCACGTGTAGTAAAGTTTGGCATAGCCATAGATTCCCTACGTTTGAGCGCCCGTATGGTAGAAAGGACAAAGACACGTAGAAAGACTGACTTATACAAGCACCTAACGTCGAATCAGCCAATGCACATCTACGATAAGAACAAGGCAACACTCGTACCCAGTACACCTCACGCACTCCCACTCCCACTCGCCACCACCCCCTCATCCTCACTACAAGCCGCCCCAAGCGCCTCCCTCACATCATCAACCTCCGCAACCTGCACACCAGCCTCCTTCCCAACAACCGCCACAAAGGCACCATACTCCTCGACAACCCGATCCTTCACATGGCCCAGCAGCACGCCCACCGTCCGACTATCGGGCACATAAAGCCGTAAGCGTGCAGCGCCTGCTCGGAGGTCGCGCGCTATGGCGTCGAGAGAGGCGCGCGCGGCGTCTTGGGCGGCTGATGGTGGCGGGCGTGGGATTGATGATGCGGATGAGAGGAAGGATTGGAGGGGTGCGATTGCGGGGTGGGCGAGAAGTGCTATCGCGTCTTCGACGGCGAGCTTGAGGTCTGCGTCGATAGCCTGTTACATAATTGTGTCAGTCAGGCCATTCAGAGAGTGCAAGGAGTGTAAATATAGTTACGGCCTTCCAGGCGTCCTGGTCCCGGTGGACTTTGTAAAGGTTGAGGATGTTCAAATGTGTGCACGGCGACTTACGGCTCTCTCA